ATATAAAATTCTACTTAAAAGTTATTGAAACAGGAAACATATTCAGTTATTTAATCTTAATTTTTTTTTATCACTGCTAGACAATAAAATGGTTTCTATTCGGTATCTAAGGTAGTGTTTGGCAATTAACAAYACAAAGTTGCCTGGTAATGGAATCTTTGACTCTACCTGTTGCCCAATTCACGATGGCTGGTTATCAAGTAAACATCGCTCAATGTAGGCGTTGTYGCTGTTTATAAACGTAAATCAGAAATTGATTTCTCTAGAATTTTTCGCAACATATATTATTGCGGAATTATTTMTCGTTTTCAGTGTATATATTTTGATTTAGCCGGGTGCAATGGCCATTTAGTTGATGAAATATTTATATCTGCGGGGATTCTATTTTGATAGCCGCTGGTGCCATTGATTTGCGACATTAATTATTCATTGCYAGCACTTTATTTCGACTTTGATATTTCACCGATTTAACCTTTGGTAATTTTCCCATATTATCGTTGTAAAAACGGCTTTATATTAGAACATGGAGCTCAAATAACAAGGACAAGAGTTTTCAAGTTATTTTTTTTCGACTTGGGTCAAGATGGCGTTCCTCAAGGATCATTGTTGGGTAGTTTGTTTGGCTGTTTTGTCTTGTTCTTTGTTTGTTATTGGAAAAAGACATTCAAAGCACCATTATTATCATCAACATCGACATTCAGAAAACTATAGAGAAAATTACGCTTCGAAAAGAAGCGACATATCGCCCACTACTTTTCGAAATGTGTACACGTTCTCTGTCAATGATGAAGGAATTAGGTTAAGGAAACATGGCCATTCCAAGGAGTCGAAAAGACAAAATATCGAAGTAGCAGAAGTCTTGAAGGATTTAGCAGAACTAGCAACTGCAGTTTCCGAAGGACCTACACCCGGTCAAATTCAAAATGGTGTCGTACAACCGACTCAAAAGGCAACTCCGCAACCGATAAACGCGGCAGCTGGAACTACCGTAGTTAGTGTTCCCGTCAACCCAACAACWKCAGTGACYTTATTACCGACCGATGGAACCGCGACTGATGGCTCAATGTCCACAGCTTTGACWATTGGAAGTACAGTTCCTACAATTCCTGTAACTAATGCGACTGCTGCCCCTACTACTAAGCCYCCCAACGAGACTACAGCTCCACAACAAACTACCGCASCTCCCAACATAACAACTCCAACTACGGCRCCAACAACGGCCGCTCCAACCGAAGTAACGGAGCCTAATCTTTTAGAGTGGCTCAAGAAAATGATTGGACAAACTGGAGGAGGGGCCGGTGGTGTTATCGTTGGTGGAGGTGGTATCACCGGTATACCCGGCATAACCTTCCCCGGTGGTGGAGGTGGGTTACCCGGTGGTGGTGCTGTCATAACAGGCGGTGGTGGAATACCTGGAATTGGCGGTGGTGGAACTGGGATACCCGGCATTGGTGGAATATCCGGTATCACTGAAATCCCGGGTCTCGGTGGAATACCCGGTCTCGGTGGAATCCCCGGTCTGGGCAAGATCCCCGGTATCGGTGGAGTAGGCGGTGGAATTGCAGGCATTCCTGGTATCGCCGGTGGAATATCTGGTGGGAATATAGGTATACCGGGTATTTCTATAGCAGGTCCTGTAAGTCCGGGGGCCAATGGAGGCGTCGCTTCAGCTGTCTCTGAAATCAAAATATCAGTGTCACCTGATGGAAAGATTACAATCAATCACCCTATGTTACCCAACGGACACCCAGTTGTAATTCCTGGACTGGTCAATGGTAAAATGCCTGGATTAGATCCTAAAGGTTAGTAATAGTACATTGCCTGGAAAATAGTACACTTAATTCGGTGAATTAATACTCAAAAAATACAAATTTAAAATAATCMTATAAACATGATAGCGGGTTGACGAACCATACTTAGTCATAGAAACCTTTATTTGCAGCTCCGTGTAAGAACAAGATTCGGTATTGCAAGCACTGGGCGAAGCAAGGGGAATGTCTAAAAAATCCAAAGTTTATGTTGGTTAACTGCAAGAAAAGCTGCACTTCGTGTGGTAAGTTAAGGCATCGGCTCTGCCTTGTTCATGAATTAACATGATTAACGACTAGGTGCACTTCATGAACTCGACTTTGCCTCGTGRCTGGCAAAAAAAATGGAAGTAAAGTTTATAAAGATTATCGACTTAGTATAAAATTGAATGTTTTCATATACACTTCATCTCGTCTTGTGACGTATTCAAATATAGTGTTACACACATTCAACTT